TGAAGTACTATACCTGGTAGCTGCACTATAGCTACCCTGGGTCTCTATACCTGGCAAGGTGCCAACTACACCTTTATTTTCCAGGTGGCCTGGACAGAGTGTTTTAGGGCAGCAAACCCTGGTCTCAGGCCACCTTGAATGTAGCTTGAAAACCACAACTTTGAAGCCTCATGCGCGCCATACCTGGGAACAGAATTGTAGCTACCCTGGGTCCGTATAAATACTATGTTGCTATACCTCTTACACACCTATACAAGTTCAAAGCACGAATGAGACTTCAAAGCTGTGGATTGCTGTGCGTGTGTAGAGGTTCTCGAGCGCTGGACGGAAAGGGAACTTGAAGTACTATACCTGGTAGCTGCACTATAGCTACCCTGGGTCTCTACACCTTGCAATCTGCCAACTACACCTTTCCATTCAGATGATGCAAATGATGCATTTGGCATTTCTTGCGTCACCACCCCTCAAAAATCACCTCCAACACAACCTCAAAAAACCTTCCCTCGAAGCACCCTCCTCCCCCAGCATGTGCCGAGTTTACGTGTACCTTTCCCGGGCCACCCCCCCAAACCCCTAACTACTCACTCCGGTTCGCCAGACACAACTCCGCTAGCGCCTTCTACGAAGGCTGGCTTTCGTAACCTTTCCAGAGTCCAAACGGGGCAGACAAGAAGCCTTGACAAACATGACAAGCTACATAGCAACACAGTTGAAGAGGCGTGCAGTGGAGGTAGTGGAAAAACACTTGACACCAGAAGAACGACAACAGTTTCGAGAAGCCAAAGGTGTGGAGGTGACAAACTACATCGCAGCACGGGCCTTTGAAGCAATACCAGAACATCTTCGACCTCCGGCTGAACAAGCCATTGGTATGAGGTGGATCCTCACCTGGAAGCTGAAGGATGATGGAACATACAAAGCAAAAGCCAGGGCTATCCTGAAAGGTTACCAGGACCCAGGATACGAACACAGGGCAACAACCACACCTGTCATGACACGACAGACCCGACAGATCCTGTTACATCTGGCAGCTCAGAACAGGTGGACAGTGAAGAAGGGAGATGTATCTGGTGCATTTTTACAGGGGAGAGAGTATCCAACTCCTCTCTACTGTGTACCATGCAAAGAGATCACAGATGCCATGGGGCTGCAGGAAGGTGAGATCGCGCAAATCAAAAGAGGATGTTACGGCCTGGTCGATTCACCAGGTACCGAAGTGTGTCTGGAACATTTGGCACCTTAGGACTTACAAAGTCATGGGCCGACCCATGTTGCTGGTTGTGGAAACCAGAAGGCGTGTTGCGAGGAATGATCGCAGGGCACGTTGATGATTTCCTTTTTACAGGGTCCAAAGAAGACAAAGAGTGGTTAGCTATCGAGCAAGCCATTCAGAACAAGTACAAGTGGGGCGTGGCAAGTTTGTACAGTGTGGAGTGACCATAGAGGAAACACCACAAGGGGGTTTTGCACTTTCCCAACCACAATACCTTGACAAGGTCAGCGAATTGACTTTGAATGCCACACGTCGGAGGGAAAAGAACCTTCCTAAACAGAAATTTGAAAAGACCAAGCTCCGAGGGATCCTTGGGGCATTGAGCTGGCATGCACAGCAAGTGGCACCACATTTTTCAGCAGAAGTTGGGCTGA